ACAGAACAATATAAGAAGGAATGATAGTTTTGTATCCGAACGGAGAGTTTTCCAAAGATTGATTACCGACAAGGAGGTCAAATACTGTTACGGCAGCTCGCTGGAACTGTCTTATAGGCGTACCGTTCAATCAAAAGCTTCGTGATCCCGCAAATCGTACGTTTCTCTACCACAAACCCAACGATTGCCGAAACGTCCAACAATATAAGAACACAGAGAACACCGATCAATAGCAAAAGCACGTGTAATACGGTATCTGAAGTATACAGTGATACAATAAATTTCATATACATACTTGACCGGGATCCTCAATAGGCGGACCGTACAACGGTGAACGAACAAGTGTTATTGCTCAACCGAGCGGTATCAAACGAAAATCGAAACTGTTATGTTTCACAGAAATAATAATTAATGGTAAAGATAAACAAAGATCAGATTAAATAGAGAAGAGAGAATACCAATCACAAGAATCTATCTATCGTCAAAATATTGTTTTCATCACCCTTACGGTGTTTCAGCCGCCGAACAAGTCGCCTCTTCTTCTCCTCTCGACAGAGAAAAACCCCAACTTCTGCGACGTTTAGTCTTACTCCATCCCTCTACAGTGACCGAACCCCCTGGTGAAGCGACACTGTTTCTGTTCGAGAATCCTGCTGTCCCTGACCAATCTAGGCCTCTACGATTGGACGCAATATTCCAGATGTGGCCGGACAACCACATTGTACAGCGGTGAGAGGACATTTGGCTTTCTCGAACATACCACTCTTGCCAGTTGGTAAAACGCCCGCGTGGCTTGTTGTGCAGCGTGGCGGCACTGTTGGCTTGGCCTGAAGTTTGACTTCATTATCACTCCCGGATCTCTAGCATCAGTTGCTCTCTTCTATTCTCTTCTGCCCCCCGGGAGGGCCCATACAGTGAATAGGCCTCGGCTCTCTTTCCTCAACGAGGTGATGGCATTTAACAACATTGAGAGGGAGATCCCACGCTAACGACCACTGATACACCTTATCTAAATTGCTTTGCATTCTGTTGTCTGTTACTGCCCGATTATCTTGATAACATCCGCAAAATTAAAGCATGGATTTTCCAGTTTGTTCGCTATGCCATTTACGAACAAAACAGACAGCAATAGTCTCAGCACTGACCATTGTGGTACTCCACTCTGCAGTTTTCCTCCCGATGATAGGGCTTCGCCCACTCTTATCTGTAAGTGTCTTCCCTTCGACCTTTCCACTACCCAACGTTCTAATATAGGCGGTATCTTAAATGATTTGAGTTTTAGAGCGAGTAGTTTATAATTAACTGAATCGAAGGCTTTTTGGAAGTAAAGATAACACACTTTTACTCGCTTCCTTGTCCTATATATTTCTCACCTCGTCTAGAAACACCATGAGGTTACAGAGACAGGACCTCCACCGCATGAACCCATGCGGGTAAGGCCCTATTAATTTGTAGATTTTAAGGGTGTGCCACTATCATTTCTCTTATTATGCGCTCTAATATCTTTAGGATGACCGACATAAGATTTACTGATCTGTAGTTTAAGCACTTTCCTTTGTCCTCTTTTACTGCAGCGAAACCAAAGTATTTAGAACGCTAGATATCTGTTCTTCTCCTTTATTACTATTTGTTTTCTGTCATTTCAACTGTAACTTTCTGTTTGTTTAAACGTTCCAAAATAACATTTTATAAGTTTGACCAGGGACATATTGGGTGGTTAGCTCGGTTGGGTTTGATTTACATTTAGTTCGATTGTTTTCTGCCTTCTACTTGGATGAGCATACATGAAAGTATTTGTTCATGTTTTGTATAGTTTATTATCATGTTTTAGATTCCGTATAAACCGTCGTGGTCTACCGTCTGTATCTGTGTTTTTATTACACGCTCTCATCAGTTTCAGTTCCTTGGGATCGTTCTTTGCTATCGGGTTAAATACGTTCGTTTCCTTTCGGGATCGATCGTTGATACCGCATCAGAATTTGTTCATTTCATTTGAGGAGTTGCCGTTATTGCGAAGTTCAAGTCCGTTCGTTTTAGATCACGGTGTTGGTGTAAATTAATACGCGTATTGAATTTACTAGCTGACGCAGACGCAACTCCCCCCTTTGTGAATGGGGGTCACAGTGGACAGGAGCTAGTCTTTAGGGAGTCTCCCCTTCTCGACGGACAAATTAAATAAAGTGGCTAGGTGTTTTGCCATGACACATCCCGAGGGATTCATTATCGCTGGATGTATCTTATCCGACTCTGCCGCCTTCGCAGTAACTAATTGTTCAATGCTCTTCCATACGTCTTCCACGGATATGTCTGTATCCTTCATCTGGCTCCGGCAATAGTTGTTGGGCGCGGCTATCTCCACCGCTTTGACTACATGCGTCCTCGTTCCGGACCAGGTTGAGGATCACATCCCCTGCTTCACCCACATGGTGTTTTGAGGTTAGTTGTCTAACGTGTAGTCATTCCAACATCACTTTTCGGCGCATTGCGCCCTCCAGATAGCAAAGGCAAAGCGCACTATTCACCGCTTTATTCAGTAACTCTAGCCTTCAGGAGAGCATTTTTACCCTATATAAGTCGCATGCAAAACCACCATTAGAATACTTCTCAATTGTATATTCCAGCATGAGAAAACTTGACCGAGAAGCCACTGAAAGCGTCCAGCGTAAATTTACTAAACAAATATTTGGTTGGTCAACAAATATGTGCTATATGGAAAGATACATCCTCCACAGGCTAAATTCCCTCTGGTTGCGCCGGATCAGATTAAATCTTATCCTTTTACATGGTTTCACATACAAACAGGCCCATTTCACGACTCCAATTTTTCGGAAAACTCACAATACTCACTACGTAACCCTGCAAACGTACTCCTTAAGACCCTCGACAGAAGTGCAACACGAAAAAGATTCTCCCTCGGAACGTACTCCAGATTATGGAACAATCTGCCAACTGATGTGGGCACGACTGTGAAACATGAAAGGTTCAAAATAAGACTCAGCCCACCTAACCGTCGATGAACTCATCACAATTCACCAAATCATAAGAACTGACAGTGCATTCGAACTCGGTTTTGATTATTGAGTAAAAAAAATCCGATTCAGCTTCAAAAGTGGATTTTTGGAACATGATCTATTTTGGTAAATATTCACAAAAGTATAGTGGTCAGATACCCTCCAGCAGATACCTCTTGATCTCTTTTTTATTTGATGCATTTGGCTCAGTTTCGTGGCACTTGCTACCCAGGAAGCAGTGATTACTTTCTCAACCGAATTCCTATCAGTACACGGAGTCAGCTTCGAAGCTAGAACTGTGGAAAATAATCCGTTTTGGTACATACTTTTAGAAGTATTGCGGCCCCTCACTCAGTACTCGAAACCTTCGTGATCTCGACTTCACTTGACTCCTTTGCTTGAAATCTGTGACACATGCTATCAAGGTAGCAGTGTCCACTTTCTCAGCCGAATTGCTGTCAGTGGACGAATTTAGCTTCAAAGCTGGATCTGTGAAACACAATACGTTTTGATACATACCCTTAGAAGTGTTGTGACCCATGATTACTTGTTTGAGATCTCGCATATCTTGTTTTAATTGTGCTGAATTTGGTGGTGCATGATAGCCCCTAAGCACTGCCCACGTTCTCAACCGAATTTCCGTTAGCCCACAGAGTCAGCTTAAAAGTTGAATCCACGCAACTCATATATGGAAATTGCGTATAAACTGAACATTCCTGTTTCATTACATGATCGATTGCTTTGTACAATTTTGGATCGTAATATAATTCGACTTCGAATATTCTGATGTTTTATTTCATATAGCGTACTAATTCAGTTGCAGCTTAACTGCGAGGATTATTATTAATAATAATGGTATATTTCACGAAACCCGTGAAGCATGCTAGTGTGCATGATCAAATGTACAACAATGTAAAAATGACAGTGGAAACAAAAAGTGATAGTACAGAGTGTACGAACGTAATTTCTAAACGGGTACGAAAGATATCGTAAATGTGCAGTACGTAGAAGAACGAAACACAAAGCGAACAAGGCCATATGACGGAGCACTGGAGGTGATGTATTATGCAGAGCAAATCAATATAACGGTTGTCTTATGAAAAACATTTGGCAAGATAAAACTGGAATTTGGAATATTCGGTCAAGAGAAAATGAGCGGAAACGAGTTCAAAGAGCAGGTGTATAATGAAGATGAAATATTCATAATTTCGGAAGAAGCGCTGCAATGGAGCTGGAGAAGAGCGCAGTGATTTAGGAAGGAACGCCAAATGGCTTATAGATAAACAGCTTCCACTGTCGATACAGCAGGAAATGCTTCTGTTAACACGGAACAATGAGCTTGGGGGCTTCACCGTTAACAGATGTTTTGGGTTGTATTACTTATATTATTTAGGCGGTCGCTTTGATGTGGGATTGACTACACACTAGACACCCAACCTTGAAATACTTTGCTGATGGGGCAGGGGGTGTGATTCTCAACCTGGTCCGGAATGCGGCCGCATGTAGTCTAAACGGTGGATACAACAGCGCCCAACAACCCTTGCCGGAGCCAAATTCTCAATTGTAGGTGTAGACCCCAAGGATTCGGCAGGCCCCAGCCAAACAAATCTCAAACAAAAAGGATGAAACTCGGCAGTCTGAGAAGCGAACAGGGGAATGGCATGTTGCGAGAAAATGTGCGGAGAGCGTAGATGCCCGATGGTATATATATATTTGTAAGGGAAGTGCGCTGGGGTAGAACCCAGCCGAGAAGGGATGAGGGGGAACAAAGCATGTCAAGAAAGAATACACGAAATGCGCAACGGTCCGAAAATATATGAGTATATATACACATATATGTACAGATGCACTCAAGACAGATCGCAACGACCGAAGTGGAAGTGTGAAGACGGCTAAACTGTCAGCATATCACGAAGATAACGACGATCACATTTCCGTTACCAAGTATAGATTACCACAGTTGGCATCAGGGCCAGTTTTTACCTCATTATGGACACCTGCAACTTGGAAATTCTTAATATTCATTCGCATTCACGTTATGTGGACGATAATTTGGAGCGTTTTGAGATTTGGTGCCCTACCTGCAAGAGTCTGGGCGTCGAGAAGAAGACGGCACATTTTCTTTCTGCTGTTGGAAAGGAAGCTTATGGGTTGAATAAAAAATGGTCATTCCCAGAGTCACCAATACAACTGCAGTACAAAGAACTGAAGGATCTGTTACTAAAGCATTTCCAGCCAGTCAACTTCGAGGCAGCTGAGAGAGCGAAATTCTATCGCCTTGCTCGTGATTCTAATCAGTCCGTCCGAGACTTTACTCTTCAGTTGTAGACTCAGGCTGCACGCTGTAATTTCAAAGATCAGCTTTAAACTCAGCTCCGTGATAGACTCATTGCTGGAAATANCTGCACATTTCATACCGCAAAGGTGGTCTGTGAACAACATCGGGATGTACGTGCGGCCGTACGTGAGGAGCCAAAAGTATTGTTCAGTCACAATTGTGGTTCAGTNGGTTCAGTGCTTGAAGCTCAACAGACGCGGCAGTTCGAAAGTGTCAACAAAACCGTTAATCTTAGTCCGAAGTCGACACAACCTGCAAATAATAACATTCGCTACTGGAACCCTTGCAAATCTTGCGGTAGGCGACATTCTCGACTGACTTGCAAATTTCGCAGTTCCAAGTGCCACAAGTGTGGTAAGTCTGGGCACATTCAGTCTGTTTGTCGAAGCACACGTAACTGTTTGACACAGAACTCAGTCCCTGATTCATGCATGTCTACCGATTTTCAGTCTCTTGCTTTATCCGTTAACAGTTCCAACAAGCCTCAACACATTACCCGTATCTTCACAGTCAATCATTGTTTTCGTCATTCATTCATCATGGACACAGATAGTGTGAAGTCGTTTATTTCCAACATTGTTTGTCAGTTTTTGAAACCACATGTGCATCTTAACACAACTGATACTTCGGTTAAAGTTAAAACTGACCATAGCTTTCCTGTTTTGGGTTCGCGTGAAATACTTCTCACTGATGATGAACAGCACACATTCAATTGCTTCTTTCTTGTCATTGATTCCGATACTTCTATTATTGGCCCCGACTGTATAAAACGCATGGAAATTTCTCTTTCATTTTTACTGATGACCAACAGTCCGGACTGCGTCAGTTGTTTCTTAAACGCTCCAACAATAAAGGTGGAATTAAAATGACCCCAATTCACTTGTAAGTTGATGGTTCTTCAATGCTTCTGAAACATCAAATTATACCATTGGGTCTCCATGTATGCGTGAAGAAAGTTTTGGATGATTTGGTTGAGAAGAGTGTATTAACGCCTGTGAGTTCTTCTTTTTGGGCTACCCCCAATGTGGTTTCGTTGAAACGTGGTGGTAAAACATCCAAAATTTGCGGGGATTACCGTATCACAGTCAACAGATATTTAAAGCAAACTAGCTGCTCAACAATTGAACCCGAAGACATCCTCCTTCAACTTCACGGATCAAAGTTCTTTTCCAAACTAGACTTAAAGGATGCATTCCTTCAGGTACCACTTGATGATAAGTCTAGTGAACTGACCACAATTAACACACCGTTTGGTCTATTTCGTTGTAACTTTTTGTCATTTGGTCTTAGTGTTTCACTGGCTATACTTCAGAATGTTGGGAATTCTCTTATTTCTGGTCTGGATGGAGTTTAAGCTTACCAAGTTGACATAATTTTGCATGCAACAACTAAAAAACTACATGATCAGCGTCTGTGCTTACTGCTTGAACGGTTTAATATCCATAATGTTGATAATGCTGAAGATAAGTGTACATTTTCTGCCTCAAAATTTTCCTGTTTGGGTTTTCTTTTTGATGAACATGGTTTTCGTCCTGATCCTACTCGTTTTTCATCTCTTTCTAATGCACCTTCTCCCAGTTCAGTTGAAGAACTTCGTTTATTACTCGGTTCACTTCAGTATTATTCTAGATTGATTCCGGATTTTGCCACAAACGCGGAGCCATTGTTCACACTTGTTTCACATCGAACATTTCAATGGATACGTATTCATGAAACCACTCTTAGAGGTTTACTAAGTTTTCTTTTTGCTGATGCCGTTTTACATGCTTTTCCACCTAAAGCACGTTCAACAGTAATTACAGACGCATCACCAGTTGGCATTTCAGCAGTGTTGGAGCAGGACGGTCATCCAGTTCTATGCATTTCTCGCAGATTTAGGCATGCTAAACGTGGTTACTCCCAAACACATAGAGAGGCTCTTGAAGTATACTGGGCTGCTAATCGGTGGCACAAATACTTATATGGCTCCAATTTCCGAAGTATATCGGACCGCAAGGCATTGAAGTTCATTTACAATCCCCACCGATCTCTGGAAGAGTCATGAGCGGCCAAGGTACAGCAATGAAGCGTCGCACTAGCCGGTTATTCTTACGACATTTAACATCGCAAGGCTCATATGATTCAATACACGGACTATTTATCGCGTTATGCCTTGTCGGAGGTACATCTGATTGCTTGCTGATACAACCACTCCCTGTCAGTCGATCCGACCTAGTCCGAGAGACAAAGAAGTACTATCATGCAGTTATTTCTTGTGTTCGATACGGTTGGCGAGCTGACACCAAGCGCCGATTCCCAAAGTTTTACAAAGGTCTTGAAGAACTTTCAGTAACTTGGGATGGAATGTTATGTTTCAATGATCGAAAAGTCATCTCTCTATCTTTACGCTCTGCAGTGCTAAGTGACTTGCATTTGGGACATCTCGGTATTGAGAAGATGAAATCACTCGCAGGTTTGACTTGCTGGCGGCCGGAGTTTAACAGTGATTTGCGTCGAGTGGCCAAATCATGTACTGACTGCATCCACAAAGTTCGCACACAACCATCTAAGTAAACCTCTTGGTTAATGTCTTCTGAACCCTGGCAGTGAGTTCATGCTGATTACTGTGGTCCCTTCCTAAAGAAATACCACGCTCTAGTGATTATTGACTCTTATTCACGGTGGCCTGATGTTTATTTTACTACGTCACCCAACGTCGAATTCACTATGACAGCTTGCCGGAAGACGTTCAGCCGGGAGGGTGTTCCACAAGCCGTCGTCACGGGTAACGGTAGTCACTTCACAGCGAAGAGTGTGACGGATTGATTGGCTGCCAACATGTCCCAACTCCACCTCGAAACCCACAGTCAAACGATGCAGCAGAAAAATTCGTTCGGAGATTGAAAAGTGCAATCGCATCTTGCCGCACATCTACTTTCACTGATTTAGACAGGGGTGTTGATAATTTCCTCATGCAGTACAGGAACACTTCTCATGCTGCTACGGGGAACAGTTTGGCCAAATTATTCAAAAAACGTATACTTCGTACCAACCTTCTTAATCTGAAAGCATGAAAGCCTAAAGTGGGCGTGCACACACTGTGTAATGTTTACGGAAGAGTGCGCTCGTCTACTTTTAGGCTCTCTTAGGTCAAGAACACAAGACGCAAACAATCGGCAAGAGCAGTTCTCCCAGATTGCGGTGCAGGGAAACGCC